AGAACGACCCCCTAGAACCAAAAATATTGGTGTTTAATTTTCACCCCACTGATCAGTTCGGGCGACAGATTCAGACATAATTTTTTCTTTTATCAAAATAGAAGATACTTGTATGATTGTTTTCCGGTTGTAATACTTTTTATTTTTGATTTCACGTTTTTAAAAATTTCACGTAACGTCAACGCTTTTCACTAGCAGTCAGTAATGTTTTCAGTCATTTTTCGCCGACTTTAGTAATAACACGGTCACTCAGTGGCATCTTCAATTAAACAATATAGAAAAATATAATACATTAAGCAATGGGGAACTTGCACATTAAATTAAATATGAAATAAATAATAAAATACAATAAGAATCATCCTAATAAATGATGCAATTAGGACAAGGATATAATATCTTATCTCTGGTTTTCAAAATCTTCAATTGAAAATACCAAATAATTCGAAATTCTTGACGAGATCAAAAACGTATTTCTATGGGTCCTGACGTCAAAGGGCAGTAATAATCGGGTCGCACCGCTGCCACGCCATGTGCTGCTGGTGTTGTCAATGTCAAATCTATCATAAGCGGCATACATAACAACATAACCATAATCTAAATCCACCTGCTCGCAGGTCACTGTCAACCATTTTCTGTGAACGGAATTTTGTTGCTGAGTGACGTCACACTAATCGGTCGTTTCAAATGGCGATGTTTCGAGCGTAACTTCAAATATTTATAAAAAATTAACGGCTGATTTTTAATGCTTGATATTTGGCATGACTATGTCTTTAGTGTAGTACAACACATTTTTGAAATTAAAAAAAAAAGTGCAAGTTCCCTATTGACCTGTCTCGCATAAACAGGGAAAACTTTATATGAATACAAGTTAGAAAGTAGTAAAACACGACATGCGTGCGCAACAGTGGGTTGCAGTGTAGCCAGATTGTATTGTTGAAGAATGAATGTAGACAATAAAAATCGAACATCACACCCATCAAAAAAGTTATATAGTGTCAAGTATTTCACAACGCCCTAAATCAGTGTCTTTCAACATCACTTTCACTTTAATCTTGATAAATGTTCCATCCGGCAACATCGCACAATGAAAGTGCAAAGGAATATGACAAGTACATAATTTTAAACAACACTGCGGAGAGTTCAGAAGTGATAAAGTAAAGTATTAGTTCGCTTTTGGTCGGATTACACGTTACAAAAAAAGAAGGAACGATTTCTTCGGAACTCGCCCCTGGACTCGGATTCTGTTACGGATAGCGATCGTTATCCTTATCGCTATGGCACTTCCTGTTTTCTTCTCTCTTTCCGAAAACAGTGTATGGACAGGGAACGTCAATAGAAATAGAGAAAATGTCTTTATGCGTTACAGAGTTCCAATCCTGAATGTAAATATGACGCAAACAAGTGACTAACTCGCTATCCATTGGACTCTGTTGCACAAGCGCAGTCAAGATAAAAAAAGATATTGTTGGTTTCACGAGAGTTAGTACTTTCGCCTTCCTTTTTTTACAAATAGAAATTGACTGAAACAAATTAATGACGTCAAAAACGTTTGTCGGTTTTTAAATCAGAAGTCATTCAATAGGTACAATACAAAATCTGAACGCTATTGAATTTATATGAATCAATCTACGACAAACCTTTTTTTCCAAGTTATGACATATCAATGTCGTAAGTACAACCTTTCGTGAAATGAACTTTACCTACGTCCACGTCGCGCAAGTGTTAGTAGGCGCACCTTTTATTTGGCAAATTGATAGCTGAGTAGTCTCGAATAATTTTTTTTTTTATTTGGCTGAAGTGATTGCGATAAGCTTCTTATAGATTCGCAAGTAGACTACCTTTCAATGGTCGTTTCAAAGAAAAATATGTTTCTTCTAAAAAAATTATGCTTAGATCAAAAAAAATGAGAATAAATAATAAACAGTATATTTTTTTCAAAAGTACCTAACCCTTAATTTGATACGCCACTGGTGCGTACGGCGTGGCACTATATAAGCTCACAATATGTTGTTGCAAGGGAAATTTTATCAACTTCAAAAAAGCTCTCTTGGCATTTTTCCTTAAAGTAGATAGTTTTCGAGAAAATCATCAAAATATTAAAAAGGTGGGGGTTAGCAGGCGAAAAAAGGGGGTTGCGGAAGGAGGATTGGCCAGGACTTTTAGTATGTCGCAATTTAGCCCTCAGGCATGATCTCTACTAAAAATCAGCTTTACATTATTTTTGTCTAGGTCAAATGCTATCGTAACTAGTGGTAATATTTCAAAAAATTTTCAATTCTCTGATGAAAAATGCAAATGCAATAAATTATTATGATGAATATTTTCATGTGACAAAATTTAAAAAAATAAATAAATGTTGATGGATTAAAGCAACTGATATGTGAAATGACGCGTATTACAGAAAATTCAAGTAGGTAAGTTAATAGATCTGGTAATATATAATGATCATTGTTTAATAACAGATGTATAGAAAGATCTCCAAAAATAAGTGATCATGACTGGATATATATAACGATTGAAAATATTAATGAAAATTTTGAAAAAATTAGAATTGTGAAACTTATAGATTATCAAAAATTGAAAGACGAGCTAAATCAACAAATTTGGAATTATGACACAAATAATATAAACCTAATGTTTGCTGATTTTTATTAAAAAGTAACCAAATGTATTGAAAATGTTAGAAAAGAAAAATCTTAGAATTAGATACAACCAAACACCATGGTTTAATAAAACAATATTATACGTGAAGAAAGTAAGAGATACAAAGAACAAACAATTTCCAATAAACAGAGGTGTAAAAAATTGGAAAGAATACAAAAAAATCTAAAAATCAATACCTAAATATTTTGAGAAAGGAAAAATAAAATTATTATGAAAAGGAAATTGATAATAATGAAAATAGAAGCAAAAAGATGTGGAAAATTTTAAAAAATTTACTGAAATCTAATAATAGACTTTGCTAATAATGATCGAACTGAAATCAAAAAATGTATTTCCAAAATGAGAGAGAAACAAATGACCGTTTAATAAATTGAATTTATATTTTATACAAAGTATCAAAAATATAAATGCATCTATTGAACAAGGAAATTATATACAATATGTCCAAATCTAACTGAGAGTAAAAATTTAATTTATAACTTTTGTTAAATTTCTGCATTCGAATTAAAAAAAAAAAAAAAAAGATACTGACTTTAAATTCAAATCAGAATCCTGCTGAAGTATTATCAAAAACTGTAATAAAAGAAGTTTCTCATCTCATTCAGTAAAAGAGCCTTTCCTATATTGGATCAGTAATTCATTAAAATCAGGATAAGTGCCAGAGAAGACCTTAAATGCTCATATATTACACTTGTTCCAAAAGTTAAAAATACAAAAAAAACATGATGAATATAGACCGATCAACGCCTTCTGGGACGTAGAAAAATTATTAGAAAGTACCTATACTGTGATTGAACAAATTTCACACTTTTTAGAAACAAACAAAATTTTAGTTGAAGTAAGTGCAAGATGGTTTTAGGAAAAAGTATTCCACGGAAATTGCTTTTCAATATGTACCTAATGGAAAATTGGAGAAAATCCTTGGAAGAAAATGAAATTACAATAGCAGTATTTTTAGATTTCAAGCGGGCATTTGAGACACTGGATAGAAATATCTTGTTAAACAAATTACATTTTTATGGTTTTAGAGGTAATGTTTATAAATGTTTTCAAAATTATTTGAGTAAAAGATGTCAAAAAACTAAAATAAATAACATATTTTCAAAATAAATCTATATAATGATATTAGGGTGCCACAAGGTAGTACATTAGGTCCTTTATTATTGACGATCACTAAAAAGAACAGAATAAAGTTGAGAACTTCAGAAGCCAAAATTGAAAATGCAAGATTTTGAGTCAAGGTTAAGCACAGCTAGAGAAGAAACTGAAAGTCTACTGATCATGAAGGAATCGCATTATTTGAAGAATTGTAGCTTCTATTAAAAACCTGTATTGAAAAATAATTTCAGGTTTATAGTTTTTGAGAAAACTGAGTTTGAAGTTTTTGACTAAATTCAACTTTGAGGCACAATTGCTCAAAAAGTATTTGAGCCATCAAACACACAGGATATTTCCACAGAAAAAGAATGTATTGTTTTTTCAAAATTTTGAAAAATGATATTCTAGCAAAATTGGGATATTATGCCAGATGAATTTGAATATTATAATTCATTTTTTAATGTCTATTATTATCCAGAACTATTTTTTTTTCCAACTATTGTTGCAAAGGCCATACATTCATCAGAAGGGGGAAACATCCAAAGATAAGCCCTCAAAGGTCACAGATTTTTTAGAATTCATTGACAAAAACTCAAGTTTCAAATTCACCCACTACAAGCATGCCTCAATAGAACAATCAAAAAATGAAAACTCAAAAACACACACACGCACGAATTTTTTCAAAAAAACACTCACTCAATTTCAAAAAAAAAAAGTAGAAGATTCCACAAAAGCAAAACTATTCGAAAAACTAACACAAATAACCATAATATACACAAAAACAATATAATTTAAAAAAATATCCGACCGCTGAATTGATATAATAATAATAATTTTTATATCGTTTGCAGGACCACCGCAAAGACGTACCTAGTTATCGGAACAGAAAATCGTCCAAGATGTATAATATAATCCATCCTGCCGGCTTTTTGCTGTTCGCGAAAATGTTCGCCTCTCCTGGGAGCTTTGGTCTTTTAATAGGCGAATTTCGGTCGGGTCGCGGGGTACTCCGGTCGGTTTTTGCGCATATCGTCGACGAGTCGGTACCGCGCTCAGAATGAATGTACGGCCGCCACCCCCGCACGTCCCGCAGGAAATTATGTTGCCTATGGCCAGGAACGACATGAACCGATATGGTGATGTAGATGTGGATATATCCTGCCCCACGGCCAATGTCCTTAGGGTAGGTCGGGTCGCTAAACTGAACGGGATTTTGCGTGTGTGCGTTTTTTTTTTTTGCGGAGGCAGTTCAATCAACTTTCGAGAACTTTTTTTTTCTTCTTCTTCGTCCGCCCTTAGGATGTCTGTGAACTTTTGTGCTTTTTGAGAAAAACGAAAATGTAAGTACAATTATTATTGTTCTAAGAGTAGGTACTAAAACTATAGAAGTCACTTTTATATAGGTAAACAACAATTTTATTTCCAAATATTAGTACATAAAAATTACTCTTTTTGACTTCCTGATTTACTTCCGGTTCAACCGAAAATGATCCTAGCATTTTAAATTAAACCCCCAATGATAATACACATAGTTGACACTGTTGACAGTTTTTTGATAGCTTCAAATAGAGATTACTCCCTGGGCGTAAGAAAATTTAAGAACTTTTAAGGGCATCTCTTGTTTGTTTCTATCACCAAACACCCAATGAGCCATGAAAATATGAATGATCCAGCACTTTGATGGAATAGAGTTTATTTGCTGGATGTTTTTCATAGATTCCATAAAAATCTGAACTGTTTTTTAAACGACTTTTTATTGAATTGCTCAAATATATGTATGTATAATTGAAATACATAATCACAAAAAATTATTCGTATCAGAATTTCAAAGCCAAAGCAACAAATTACATAGGTACCTATAGTTCTCACTTTTGTATTTTTTGTTTGTCTCTTATTTCACCATTGTCTAAATTTCCTGGTAGGCCATATATGACTATGAGATTCTAAAAATAACATTTTCATTGATTTCTAAGACATGCGTAAAAGTTTGCCCCTCGATTTGTAGATTTATGAGCTGGGTTCGTGTGCCATCCGCACCAAAACAATTTTTACTTTTTCGAATTAACAATAATTCCAGAAACTATGGACTGAAGAGTATCGAGTATCCTTAATATATCAAAAACGGAATACATAGGGTGGTTCAGAAAAAACCGGAATTTCGTTTTTGGGCTGTAACTTTTTTTGTTGTTGACCAATTTCCTTCTGTTTTGGCTTGTTTGGAAGAGAAATAAACAGGCTAACGAATCAAAGTGAAACTTTTGACAAAATGGCGGACTTCTTCATAAATTACCTAGTTTTAGAAAACGTTGGAACTTTTTTGTGACCCCTTGCATAACTTTTTCTAATGAATTCCTAAAGTTAATCATTTTGCGAACATTTTAAGACCTCGACAGGAAGAATCCGTTGAAAACTGAGTGAAATATTGAAATTTTTGTGAAATCGAATATCAACTTTTCATATCCAAAAGTAGGTAATTTTTGTAAAAGTCCGCCATTTTGAATATTTCTTAAATTTCAAAAATTTTTCCTTGATTCGTGAGCCTGTTTAATTCTCTTTCAAACACAAGAGCTCAAGAGCCGATAATAATCAAAATTTCGAATGATCATTAGCAGCTTTGATCAAAATTTCTTCTCCCAAAGTTTCTAATTGGTTCAAGAAAAATTATCCATTGGATCGATAGCCACAGATAATCAAAATTTGAACTATTACCGGCTCTTGAGAGAATGAAAACTTATGTAACCATTACCAGTCGGTCTGTTCCTGAGACTCGTGTAGTCATTTATGTATTATTTTGGTGAGAGCCTTTAAATTAAGCAGGTCCAAGTCCAGGGGTCGTATTTTCGAATATTTTCGCATACGAAATTTAATATGATTTCGAATGCTCCCCATTCAATTTACATTGCTGTCAGTCAAATTTCGTGTACGAAATGTACTCGAATGGTTTCGAAAATCGCACCCCAGGTCGCTGGCAAAAATATTGAAAAGGTTACTCATACTATACATAGGAGACGCCTTATCTTATAAGAGTTTGTTCGAGGAATAGAATACCTTCCTCTGTCTGGTGTTACCCACATTTATGGCAAAGGGTAGCTTTGCAAGGAAATGTTATTCTACTTGGTTTTAAGGATTTTGAACATATAGGTCAGATTTATTTATTTTTTTCTTTTATTTTCTAGAGACAGTCTATTGGAAAGTTTTTGCAGGGTGCAGTGACTGTATCCTTGTGGAGGATAGTACCCATATCTTTCAAGAAACATATATTTCAGGAATATCCTCTGAATTGTTCCCAATAATATACTTCAGACCTCACATAGAGGTGACCAGACAATGCTTGCATATTCCAGTTTGGGTAACACCAGTCTGTCAAAACAATCTCAGCCAGACCTCCACATCAAAAGTCTAGGCAGTTCTGATGATGAATCCCATCGTCCTGTGTGCCTCATTAATTTTGCTTAATATGTTCTGTAAATCCCAGCCTCTCATCCAGCAAAACACCTAATGTTTGTTTCGCCAGGGTTTGTACTTGCCACCATCATTTGCCTTCCTTGTTTAACAAATAAAAATGACTGAAACAAATCAATGACGTCAAAAACGTTCGTCGGTTCTTAAACCAGAAGTCATTAATTTTAATTTGTCAAAAAAATTGAATGTGTCATATGAATTAATCTACAACAACCCTTTTTTTTTAAGTTTCAAGGTCAAGTATGAACCCTGGTGAAACGAACCTTAGGTCTTTTTGAGTTGTTTCCCCGCTGACAATGGGGTCATTAATTCTGTATTGAAACAAGGTTGGATTCTTTTGGAGTGTCTACACTAGTCAACAACCCTACTGAAATCTCCCTGCAGACACTCCCAATCATGCTCATAGTCATATTTAAAAACACTTTAAGATCATCAGCATACAACAGTACATTAGAATTATCTAGGCCGAGACAAATGTCATTGATAGCTGTAACAAATACCAGTGGTCCCAGATTTGACCCCTATGGGACACCAGAACTGGAAGAATATATTTTGGATTTGGCTCCCATGATTTCGACATACTGTTTTCTACCTCTTATGTATGATGTTATTAAGTTTGTGATTTTGGGAAGTACATTTAGTTTAATAAGTGAATTAATAATTACACTATGTTTAACCTTATCGAATGCCTTTTCCATGTCAGTATAAATCACATCAACCTATCCTCTTATTAAAAGCATCATGAATATATTGGCAAAAGTTTATTAAATTAGAGACGGTTGATTTTTTTTGGGAGGAATCCAGGCCAGGCTGGCGTTCAACTATACTGTACTTGATACTATCATGTTCTGCCAAACAACATGGATACTACACACGGTATTGTAATTGGTCTATAATTGGATATTTCCCGTTTCAGTCTGCTTTTGAATACTGGAATTACCTTGCTCGTCGTCCATGCCTCAGGGTAGGATTCAGACGCATAACTCAAATTATACAGTTTTAATAAAGTTCAAACAGGCAACACAATCCTAAGGATAAGGTCTGGAAGCCCATCCGGTCCTATTGTCCTATTACCTTTCAATTTTGTTGCTGCAGTTCTAAGGTCTTCCTCATTAAATGGGACTGTGCAAAAATAATCTTCCACTTTCACGCTTTTACAATCCGGTGTTTCTGTTCTAGAAAACGCCGAGCTGAAATATTCCGCAAAACTATTAACAATACTTTCTGCTCGCTTTGACGGAAAAGGCGATTCGCTTTTCTGCGATTTAACGTTAAGTCCAAAAATACTTAGGATTCTTCAACATGCTGTTACTAACCTTACTTATGTAGGTACCATCGTCACCAAAAGTATCTGGGACAAAAATAATGCATTTCTCCTGGACTAATTCTTCCGTCATTCATTTCAATGCATCTAATTCACAGTTTGACACATTTTGACAATAAAATTCATATAATAGTACAAAAGCTAATATGATGCTGTCCCAGTTATTTTTGGTGACGATGGTACCTGTTGTATGCAATCTTGATTTCTTTTTTATAACACACTGGGACTGATCAACTGATTTGAGTAGCCAGGGGAACACACTAAATAAACATCTCATTTATTTAATTTAGCACCCTTACATTCTAGTCAACCATCCAAGGACCTTTTTTTTTCAGTTATACATGTAAACCCCATACTTTGTGAGTGGCTTGCTTACATCAAGTCCTACAACTTTTCCTCTACGACTTTTCTCGGAAATGGCACGTATGCGCGCAGGCGACTCGCAAACATTTTAGGGGTATCGGACTCCCCCAATTTGCCATTATTTTTGTCGGCCAAGTTGATTTCCGTGATTTAGACATAAAAATCAAACAGTATTCGTAAAATTAGATTTACCTACATGTATCAGGAAACATAGCTACGTCAGATCGACATGTTTGCGAGTCGCCTGCGCGCATACGTGCCATTTCCGAGAAAAGTCGTAGAGGAAAAGTTGTAGGACTTGATGTAAGCAAGCCACTCACAAAGTATGGGGTTTACATGTATAACTGAAAAAAAAAGGTCCTTGGATGGTTGACTATTCGTACAGTTCATATCAATCCACATTCTGCAACATATTGTACATTAATCGGTGATTAGCTTTCTTAAAATTAAACTTTGTTGTTTGAATTTGTTCACACTCAGTCCATTCACACTCTCTATCGATGCTTATGCTTATGCCCCACACACTATGCGATTTTTTGGTGGCTAGACCCACATACAACGGTTTTGGAATGAAACGTTGAACCGTCGTGTCAAAAATCAAGCTCAGACTGAATTTTCAACCGACGATAAAACACGACGGTTTTCTATCACACACTTCGGTTTTAGATCGTCGTGTTTCATCGCAGCGATGAAAACCGATGAGAACGAACGTAGTGTGTGGGTGGGGCCGTTAATGCTGGATGATGTTGGTCCACAAGTAGTAAAGGATCATCATCAATGATCACCCCACAGTTCTGTACACCAGAGCTAACAATGACCAAATCCAACAATACATTGTTCGCGTTGCGCACGTTGTTTACTTGTACTAGATTCACAAAAGCTATGAAACTATATTAAATTCACACTTGGTGCTCATTGACCACCCTCGAAACAAGGTGGTTACACACATAACCTCACTTTCGACGGGGGGACCAAAAAAGGGTTTGAGGACTATTTACACAAATACGTAAATAAATGTAAATATCGTTTGTTTGTCCTAATGACATGTTTGTCCCCCTATTGAAAGTGACGGTATGTGATTTGTAACGTAATAGCCAGCGCCTAATTGATGTGTGTAAATCAATGGTCTAAATGGTCCTCAAACGCTTTTTTTGTCCCTAAGTCGAAAGCGAACTCATGTGTGTCACGTCA